AATTATCACTGAAGCTGAACATTCGGGAATAGTAATTGTTCATTTGTACTTATTATCGTGTGCAGTCTCTAGTCCTATTCTTTGCCCATTTTTAAATGAGAAGATTCAGTCTTTTATTGGTTTGTGAAGCTATTTTTATAACAAGGATGTTAACATTTATAGCACCCGTCAACAGTGCCTTTTAGGATTTATTGTTTGCTTTTGCATTTTGTTGTTTCCAGTATTAAAAGAAGAACTGTTTCCATTTTTCCTGATTCCACAGTCGCGAACCATGTCTAATAGCAGAACATGTTCTCGGTTTGCACACATTACAGCCAGCAGAGACTTTATGCTTGAGGAACTCATACATGTAACTTACATGTAACCCATCTATGGCGAAGGGTTAACGCTTTGACTTTACTTTGTCCTTATTCTTCACCAACTTCTTCAGATCTGAAGACTCTCCCATCTGATTCTTCCTGAAGGCGGAAAGGTAAGCAGTGCAACAGAAATCCGATTTCCTGCATAGAAAGGTTGCGCTGGCTGATCTATAATGTCAGTAGGCTTCCCATGTCAGACCCTTTTCAAAACCTTAAATCTCAAGTTCAAAGTCCCCACTTAAGTCTTGACAGTAGCTTTCAAGGCCATCGATTCAAGAATAAACACATTTCTTCTCTTTCAAGCTAGAGAATATTCTCTTTCTACCTGTTAATACACTTTTTCAAAAGAAAAGAACTTTGTTTCCAAAAAAAAAGAAAAGAAAAGAAAACCAACCTTTTTTTATTCAATTCTCCTGGGATATTAAGAACAAAAAGACTTACAACTTAATGGAACATCTTAATTCCCCAAGAATGAGGGAGAAAACTAGAGGCCCTGAGTGGAAAGGGGCCATGTCTTGAATGGATGTGCCATGCCTGGGGCACACCTGGTCCTTTAGGAGGACGGCGGGTTCCCCTCTGGATGCCAGTGAGAGTAACAGGCATTTTACTTGTCAACTGTTGTCAATCCTGTAACATTTATCACAACGATGTTCATCTAATGGGGTCACAATAAGATGAAATAATTATTTCCTAATAGATCTACTACCCATCACGAGATAGTGAACTGATCACCAAGTCATTAGTTACCTACACATTATAGGCATAAAGCTAATCAACAAAAGTTTGATGTAATTGTTACTCATCTGTATAAAAGGATTAGTCCTTCACGGTATATTCTATAAGGAAAGCATCCAGCTTGCTTTGGCCTGTTTTGAGCTGTGGCCTGCGCGCCCTAACAGGAGAGCCCCGTGGTAGCCAGCGCTCAGGAGCCACTAGAGCTACCGAAAGCTTTCGTACAGTCACCCGAGGGGCTCCACCCACGCCCAGGCAGCTCTCTCTCCTGGTTCCTTCAACGGGCTCTCCTACTGGTGATTCTTCAGGGTCAACAGAAAGGCTTTCTTGAAAAAAACAAAACCCACAAATTGTAATGAGAGCTGTACACACTCCATTACACATTTTTTGAATGTACAGTGTATAAAAGCGCACTTATGTAGTTCCGTTTCAATGCCTCATCTTCACTCAACAGTTTATAAAACATCTAGCGAGATGTGGCTATGAGTCCTTTTTAGGAGGGGGGTTGGGAGAGAGGGGGGAGTACAGAGAGAAGCAGACACCCAGGACCTTAAGCATCCGATTCTGTTTGGTTGATACAGCAAGACGGGCTCTTTCAGCTTGGGAGGAAGTGCCAGCCCTCCCCTTCCTTTTACACATCTGCACACATCTGCATACGTCTCCCTGCCCCTTCTAAATGATCCCCAGAAACACACACACACACAACGATGAAAACACTTAGGGGACTGTGTCTGCTACCTGGGGCTTTGGTCACACATCACCAAGTAGAACTTGAGCCATAGGAGCAGGAGCAGGACATGTGGTGAAAGAACTCCTTTGTCTGGGAGGGGGCGGTCTCTAGCATGCTGCTCCCTTTCCTGGGATGCTCTTCACACAGGTAACACCTGCTCCCCCCTTGGGCCTGCTCTTCACCTGTGTGACGTCTGCTCACCTCTGGGGCTTGTTGCTAGTGTGGGAGCCTTCCCTACTGCCAGCCTGGCCTGAATGCCCCCTTTGGACTTGCTGTTTAAATACCCCATCCTTCTGAATCCTTACCCTACTTGTGGTATGTGTGCACTATCTTCTTCCACACGAATATATGCCCAATGGGGTGAGTACCACATTTGTCTTTTTCGGGTCTATATTTCCAGTTCCTAGAACACTGGCTGATACATAATACATCCTCAATACACATTTGCTGAATGAGGGTTAAGTTAACTAATATATGGAAAGTGCTCAGTTTAATTCCTGCCACACAGAGGTGCTCGATACTCATTAGCTGCTAGTGTGTGAGCCATCACGGATCTGTCCCACACCGAGAGCGCGTTGAGACGCCCTGGGAGACATTTGAAAGGATGTTCACTGCCCATAATCTTCAGAACCGCATTTCCACAGGCTTCTATTCTCTTCTGCTAAACTGAGCGGAATCAGTAGGCAAGGTCCGGTCACACCTGACTTCCGGAAAAGACGAAACAACTTTCAGAGGAGATGAGACCAAGAAAGGGGCCCCCACTCCTGCCTGTGAGATACTCCTCATGTCCTTCTCCTTCTCCACCATCCCATGGTTTTTTGACACTATCTCATTACTATAGCGTTTAGGCTAACTTATAGCATTCTTATTTTTTAGTGTTTTTCAGAATATAGGGTATGGCCTGCAATGTGTCTAAATGCTGTAGTGATGAGCCATCATGAAACGGAATCCCATAGTTACATGGGATTCATTCATCTCCAGTCATTATGTTTGTGTTTCTTAAACCAAGTAAGAATTGATCCGGACTGCACCAGGTGTGGCGGGCGGCCTTGAAGGTGTTTTCATGCCCCACCCGCACTTCGTTGCTGGGAGGAATGTAACTGGCTGCTTATTTTTAAACACTTGCTTGTGCTTCCAGGGGAAATAGCTGTGAAACCACTAAATGATTCCTTCTAGTCTTGGATTCTTAACTGAGAATTCAGTTTGGTTCAGACTTACCCTCAGTGTCCCCCTGTGACTGGCTAGTTTGTACTTTATTCTGTAGGAAATGGGGGGGCTCTCAGTGCTCTGAGCGGGTGGTGAGATCGTTAGGAACGCGCTAGGAAGGGTCATGCAGCAGCCGTGTGAGAAGACAGGCTAGCAGAGTGAGAAAGAACAAGGGAGGCCTGTTGGATGGCTGTGACAGTGCTCCAGTGGGGAGTTCAAGGCCAGAACCGAGGGAGGTGGTGAGGATGGAGACCTGGGACCAGAGGAGAGAGAGAATAGAGACCGGTGCGTAAGGAGTAGAGTGAGGATGGAGAGACCCGAGTAATGGGGGTAAGGACCGGGGGATCGGAGACGTGTAGGTGGGGTGAAACCAGAGTGTGGGGGTGAGGATGGGGAGGAGGACATCCGTTCAAGAGACACTGCAAAGACGGACCAAGGAGACTTCCAACGCGAGGAAAGTGAGGGAGCAGAAGCAGAGTCGGACGTGGCTGGCTGGGAACTGGTGGTGGCATTACCCACAGGGAGCCGGAGGACCAGGAGAACGTTTATGGCTGAAACTTACCTTGGGAACAAACTGAATCTGGGAGCCGGTCAAGATCCAGGCTCTTGGAAATGGGGCCCAGAGTTCAAGAATGATGTCAGGATGCCTCCCGCGTATATCCAGTGTAGCATCGTCCCTTCTGAAAGCCTGGTTCCTTTGTCCTTTGTCCCTCCACAAATGGCACATGCTTTAAGGTCATGGCCGACCTTTTTTTTTGTTGTTTTTTTTAGAAGGTAGAACATCTTCCTAATAAGAGTCTTTGACTTCATCTTGGAATAGTCTGGGGCCTAACAGTGTATGACACACCTTTGATCTTCCCTAACACATGCTCCCTACAGCTCTTCTGTATAAACCTTAGAACTGGTAGTCATCTGAGAGAGTCAGTAACAGGTTCCCATGATTGTCTAGGACCAAGGAAGTGTGGGGTGTCGGCCAAGTTCACGCAGCCAGTGGCCAGTGCCCTGGTCCCAGCCTCTGACCTCTCCTTGCTGGAAGGAGCAAGTAGCACCTTCCAGCCCCGCCCGAGGGAGAACAGGAACCCGGGCCCCCGTCCTTCTGTGCGTGCACCTCGTCACCGTGCCCTCAGAAGTGCTCTTTCTAGCCAACTCGTATTTCTTCCATCTCTTGTAGTTGTTTACGGGCGATTCCTTTTAAAGTTCTTGACCAGGGGTGAGCAAACTTTTTGACTCGAGGGCCACAATGGGTTCTTAAACTGAACCGGAGGGCCGGAACAAAAGCATGGATGGAGTGTTTGTGTGAACTAATATAAATTCAAAGTAAACATCATTACATAAAAGGGTACGGTCTTTTTTTTTTTTTTTTTTTAGTTTTATTCATTTCAAATGGGCAGGATCCGGCCCGCGGGCCGTAGTTTGCCCACGGCTGTTCTAGACATTGAAAATTTGCGTTCCTTCCCTGCGTTCTTGAGAGTGTAAAACACAGGCAGCTGACACTCCCCTCTACCAAGAACGTTCTGGGTGTTTGTAGCCAGCCTGTGGGTTCCACTCACACAGAGACCCAGCCCCCCTGCCCAGATAAGTGTTTGTCTCATGGTTTTAAGAGCAGCGAGGACTGTTAACCGAAAACGTACCTGTTGTCAACCTTCCGGGGGTCCTTTCACTCCGGCAACACTAACTGGCCTTCTCTGTTCGGTGCTACCTGTCCATCACCGCCTCTTCCATGAGAGGCGATGAGCCACTCTCGTGGGGATGCTGAGGAATCACTATCGGTTGGGAGAACAGATAACACACCAGCAAGACCCTGGTGATGGCACTAAGACCACAGCGCCTTGTTCAGAGCTGTAACAATAAGGCTCGTCCCACTGGTGACCCCCAGCCGAGTCCGGTTTAATTAAATGGTCTGCCAGTCGATTCGCCTTGTGATGGTGGAATTCATGCTTCTTATTTTGGCCTGTTCCTTTCCCCCCGTGTAGATGCCCTGAACCTCCGGAACCGGCAGGTCATCTGCGTGACGCTCAAGGTCCTGCAGCACCTGGTGGTGTCGGCGGACATGGTGGGCGAGGCCCTGGTGCCCTACTACCGCCAGATCCTCCCCATCATGAACATCTTTAAGAACATGAACCGTGAGTGGCCCCGGGAGGCGGCGTGTCCTCAGTCTGAGAGAGGGGGGTGGTTGGAGGCAGGGTTCACTAGCGGCCCGTCAGGATGGAGCCTCGACAGCTAAATCCTCTGCAGATGTACATGGCGCCCTGCCCCTCCGCCCGCTCCCCGGGCAGCCGGCAGATGAGCACTTTCTGTTCTCACTCCTCGCACGCGCAGCTCGCTCAGTCAGTACAAAGGCACCGAGCAGCTCTGTGATCTTCCAATAATTGAGTCGTAAAGTGTTGTTAATAGTTTTTGGAATGCATTAGTAGGTATTGAGCGTGTCCTCTCTCTGGATAGTACTCCTGCCTTTAGATACTGCCCGTTAACACTGCAGTTTTTATTGATTTAAGATGAATTTTTAAAGCGATAGTATTAAATTCTGGTTCGGGTGGTTTGGTGAGTTCTAATAGATGTCTTCCATTTCTAAAACAAGTAGAACACTAGATGATTTGTAGCTGCGTGGTGATGGTGAGTGCTGTGTAAAATATATATGTGCTGCTATGTTTATTTTTTAAAATATTGTTGGGTAAGCTCTGGCCAGCACCGAGGTGTCAGGGGATCTGCCGGGACCGGCAAGGCATCGGCAGCCGGGTGGCCTCTGGGCAGGAGGTGCTCACGCCGGCCCACGGAGCGTGTGAGCTCCCTTCTTGCCTCTGGAACCGTCTTTCCCTCGCTCACTCTGAAGGCCCGCACTTCCCAGCAGCGCGCACGTCAGAGCCACAGGCAAAGCCTGTGTCCAGGGAAAGAAGCTGGTGATGTGATGGAGCTGCGGGCAGGTGTCCCCACGCCATCTCTTCTCACTACCAACAAAAACCACACACGGAGCCGCGAGGAGGCCCTCCCACGCGCAGTCCTACTTTGGAGGCAGCGTGTGTTGTGTTATTCCTAGATTTCTCTTCAAAGTCTCTTTGTCAGGCGGCCTATTCGGGAAACCATGGCGATGGCGTGCTCAGCTGCCTTTCAAAGACGCCTGTGACGTGTTTCCTGTTAAACGCGGCGGCAGAAGGGCCTCCACGGGGCTACGGGACTTTCAGAATCCGAGGTGGGGTGCGTGACAGCCATTCCGGAACTCCCGGCGCGCGAGGGTAGCTGGGCGTTCAGATGACACGGCTCCTCTTCGTGGAAAACAAGAACTAGGCGTTAGTAGTTGTATGTCTCAGGTCTAAACTACAAGCTTCAGTAGCAGCGTTTTGACTGT